AAACCCCAAGGTGGAAGATAGCATTCCCACCACAGTACAGTACTGCAAGGTGCAACAAACAAAGAGTGTCCAATCGGCAAAGTCTAAAGGTAATACGACTTTGCCTACTGCCCAAATTACCATCCTGAATAAGAGGGCCAAGGTCCATACCCGTGGGGTTGTTGACCAAGGATCCCAGAGAACATATATCACTAAAAAGTTGGCAGATGAACTACAATTAAGGCCTGTAGCCCAGACGTCATTCAACATCTCAGGGTTTGTAACAGATGCAGGACCTCAAGTCTACCAGGTGGTACAACCATCAGTACGTTTAGGCAGGTACGTCTGTCGAGTACAAGCCATTGTGGTGGACAAAATACCAGTAGACCTACAAGTTCAAGGTCTGAGAGCAACAGCCAAATTCCTGAGAAATAGAGGAATAAAATTAGCAGATAATATTAAGTCTGATCACCTCATTGACTTCGGTCTCCTTGTTGGGACAGACTATTGCCATCGATTCATCGGTAGCCCTACTAAATATCAGGGTATAACCATGTTAAACTCTGCAGGAGGTAAATTACTCTCAGGCCCAGTATCAAGCCTGAGGAGACCTATGCCTGCAGATAAACAATACCAATAGAAATCTAAATTTGTCAGCTGATTATATTTCTCCAGTAGCATTATACTAAGGAGATTACAGCTGACTATACCAACAGAGGTTGATGTTAGTATCATCATTTGAAGCTGAAGATGAGTTCATGAGGCCTCAGTGGCAAATCAGCGAACAGTAGCCTAAAACAGCTACAAGTCACTGCGACCAATGTCACTGAACCCACTGCAGTCTCAGAACCATACTTTACTTTAATGATGAGCTATTCAATCTTCTGAATCAATTAACTAAATTAAACCCCAATAAATCTGATGACTGATTTGATACATTTATTATTTAATCAAGATGTATTCCTTGGGCCTCAGTGTTTATATATCAGTGACTAGTTACCTGAAGAAACTTCAAGTTATATCTAATGTCACTGATCTCACTGCAGTCCCTGAATCATACTTGACTGTAGTACTTGATCACATCCAGTCTTCTGGGTTAAATAATATGTAATAAGGCTTGAATATTAGCCTTTCAAGAGTTGACAGGGAAATGAAATCGCATTAGACTTCTAACCCCTGCAACTCTAGTACGGGACATCCGTCCTGTACGAACAGAAGCACAAATGTGTGATTACTAACTACTAACATCAAATTAATTCTAATAATTCGAAGGGAGGAGTATCGGTGTTCGTCTGTTCTAATTAGGACTTCGACCCGTGAGCAACCCCTGGGGAATTATGTCGGAAAATCCGACACCATTTAATATATCATACAGATAATAGCTGTATTGTATAAACAAGTAACCCATAGAAAACGTAACTTGTAGTGGAATTACCGTCTATAGAAAACGGGATATCATCACCACATACTATTATAATTCACCACCTATTATGGTGGGAATTATTCTTAAATACATTAGTCTTTGGACTTTACCATCATAAAACATCTTATATAAATTAACTTAATTATCAATATTAAAGTAGAGTAAATGTGACCCTTCTATCACTTTCTGAAATCTGGACAAAGTAGGCCAGGCGTCAGGGAGGAAGGAGGGAGCCATTGTTGTGTCACCTCCGAGACGTGTGGAGCAAATTTAGCTCCTATCATAACTGGACAATGTCGGCCAGTAACATCAATAGCATGGAGTGTTAAACAGCCATTGTTTATACGAGACCAGAGGCTCACACGGGAGCAAATTCGGCTCCTGTTAATTTTACTTGGACGTAGTGTTATGGAAACCAAAGGTGTACCATTTTCAACACGCTGTCTACAAATTCAAGTTAAGTGTTCTTTCCGAAACCCATGTATCTTCATTTATGGCCATTAATGTCATTATATAGGGTGAGCTGGTTAGAGCACGTGGAAGCCTCAAACTAAAGGTAATGAAGCCAGGTCTTCATGTTCCATGTACAGTTTTCTCTGAAATACTTGTCATATATAGGATTCTGGCTTCACAGCTAGCGCACTTTTGACAGGTCAAGACGAGGAAGATTTTGTGCACCAGTTACTGGGTGATATGGAAGCTACCTCAAAGAGGATAATTTGGTGTCTACAACCTAGTTATACCTGGTGGACTAACCTGCTGTACTATAAGATAAGGAACCTCTTCAATGTATGTAGTTAATTCTGTAGTTTGATTGGCTGCATATATATAAATATAAACCCCCCCTAATGTGTAGAGGATCGATTTGTGAGATTATGAGATTATTGCAGAAATACAGTCCACTTATCATTATACAAATTGCTATCGAAGTATATAAATTAACGTATATATAAATTCATATAAATTAAACAAATATAAATCTCACAGGTCGGTTCCCACACTTCAGCCTACAGATTAGACTTATTGTCTTGTTTATGACCCTCTGTCCTGCGTTACAGTGAATACCAGCATTATCCTCACTTTAATAAGAATTAATTGAAATCTCAGATTAGGCAAAATTGTAATTAATTCTGTCAATAAAGATGTTAGTAATAATAACGCACTCTTCGAACTACTCTGGCGTCCGATTTCTTTCTCTCGAGTCCGAGCATCAGACTGTTCTCGCGTCCGATAAAAATATATTTGTATAAAATTCATTTATTATTTGATCGACTTCAGGATAGCTTCAAAATGAGCGCCTTTTGAGTGCGCACAGTTTGATACCAAAATGAAAGACGTAACACGAAAATTTATGTCAGAACACTGGAAAGATATAAATAATTTTGTGATGATGAGCGTCCAAAATTAAAATATTTGTTAAAATTCCAGTTATTGCTTTATTATTATGGGAATAGTTTTAAAATACGCGCCCTTATATTGCGAACAATTTGATACTAAAATGAAAGACGTAACACGAAAATTAATGTTATGAAACTGAACGAGTATACACATTAGGCTGCGGTGTGCAAATTGGTGCTCGTTCACGGGTAACTTTACGCTTTGTTGCGGGGAGTCACGCCAGACTTTTGAACATTATATGCCCATACACCTGTAGGGAATTCTATTGCGAACACAATTATACTAAAGCGAACGACATAGCACAAGAATCAAGGTGAGAAAACTGAAATGAGTATACACATTTCGATGTCGCCGCGCGCTCGCCCGCACGCCTGGGGCGTGACCGCTAAGTTGGCGGCGCGCATGCCCGGGGTGCGAAAGTGTTAAGTAAATTGTCATTCATTAATTTGATTTAATGGGTCCTTTTATTTGCATGGAGTGTTTGCACAGATTTAGTCTGACTCTGGGGATATCAAAGAAATATATATTTCTGGTGTGGTGCTCATAGAGTTTTATTACATCTACCAAGGAAAAGTTTCAGATCAAGATTAGCATTAGGAACAAAGATTTGTACATGTTAATAGCACATGAGAATGTGTAGAGTGAGTGTATGTTTAGCATGTTAAGGGACTTAAACAGAGGGGCTGTGTGTTGTCTGTTATAGTTGTAGGGCTGCAGAGGTTGTTATAGTTCTGATAGCAGGTTTTTACTTGGTGATGATGGCCTTAAGGAAATTTGCAGTGGTTGAACCCCATGCACAGATACCGTATGTAATATAGGGATAGATTAGCGCATAGCATAATGGGAGGAGAGCAGAGTTTGGAACATAATATCTGATTTTAGAGAGTATACCGACCGTTTTTGAGACTTTCTTGGTTATGTGTTGCATGTGGGTGCTGAAGTTCAGTCTTGTTTATGTATAGCCCAAGGAACGTTCCCTCATTTTTTTGCTAATGTTAACATTGTATATTTCAAGTTTAATTATATTTGATAATTTTCTCCCAAATAAGATGTAGTAGGTCTTTTCTATGTTTAGTGTGAGTTTGTTGGTTGACATCCATTAGTGGACTTTTTTTTAATTTATTATTTACAATATTATTTAGTGTGTGGGGGTTGGGGTCAGAACAGGAATGAGGAATATGATAACAGAACGATATGAGGAATATCGTCTGCAAATATTATAGGTTTAAGAATGTTAGAAACATTTGATAAATCATTGATGAATGTAAGAAATAGGAGAGGTCCTAAGATGCTGCCCTGTGTCACTCCTGCTGTTAATGGTAGAGTGGGAGAGGTTATGTTATTGATGGATACATATTGGTATCTGTCACTAAGATAGGATCGAATATAGTTCAGGGCAAGGCCTCGGATTCCATAATTGTGAAGTTTAAGTAAGAGGTAGTTGTGGTTAACAGTATCCTTTCCTGAGCCAGAAAGGCTCTTGAATCGCCTTTCTCAAGTCAATGAAGAGGCCAATTGGAAACTCATTTTTGTCAAGGGCTGTGTAGATTATATTAAGCAGACTAATAATTGCATCATTGGTACTCTTTTGGGAACGGAAGCCAAACTGGCAGGGACTTAATATGTTGAGTTTTACAAACTAGAAATAGAGCTGTTTATAAATAATTTGTTCTAATATTTTTGAAAGTATAGGTAGATTTGATATTGGTCTGTAATTGTTTATTTTAGCTATCTCGCCTTATTTATGAACTGGCGACACTCTTGCTATTTTAAGGATATCAGGAAAAGTATAACACACTAGAGATTTGTTGAATAGCAGAGCTATGGGTGGCTCAAGGCAGGGGCAGCACTCTTATATATCATAGATGGTATTTCATTAATGTTCCCAGCTTTGGTTTTAAGTGATTGAATTAAGGATATAAAGTCTGTCGGGCTGACTGGTAAAAGGAGTAGAGAGTTTGGATAGCTGCCGGTGAGATATGAACTAACATGTGTCTGGGTCTGGGGGATTGTTCTGGCAAGGTTACCACCAATTGATGAAGAGAAGCTATTAAATTCAGATGCCGTTTGAAAGCAAAGTTTGTTGTAACGTCTGAAGAATAAGTTAATATTCATTATATATTTTTTTGTTACATGATTGTTGTTCATGATAAGTTGAAGCGTGAAGGAAGATAAGCAGGTGAGTGTAGAGGAGACTCACTGTCTGGCTGGGCTGTGGTGGTGGTGATGGTGCCGATGGGGGTGGTGGAGGCCGCCATCTTGCATGTGTACGGTAACGTTTGGTCGCAAGGAAAGTCGTTCCATTTGCCTGTATCTTCCAGCATCTGGACGCAGTTCTCGTTGCCAGAGGGTTCACCTAGGTAATAATGTCTTCAGCATTAACTACAAAGCACAATGACATACGAAAGTGGCTCATATTCTTACTGGTGCTCATTTTCCTCACTCATCATACTCACATACTCATTACTTCCTCATGAATTAATTCTTACCATAATGATTTAAATACTTAGATTTCAATTATTAACGCTCATATGTTTCCTTCAAAAAAATAACAAATAATAATTTAATCAATATGCATTATTCATATAATTAAAATTCCAGTTAAGATCCCATTAGAGAAGGTAATTAAGATCATGGCCAGGAGACCAGAGTCATCAGCCACACACAGCAGGTGTCGTCACTTCACTCAAGAGACTTAACCAGTGCTAACGTGGCCTGACATCCTTACCCACATTCCAGTTGGTGATCGTGAGGCTGGAACCGTCGCTCCAGCGCCAAGCGTCTGGAGACTGGCGTTCATTCAAGCCAAGCCAACTTCCTCCTCCCTGGCGGTCTGCAGAAGGAGGAAAGAACGTTCTCAAGTTTACTGTGTAGATAAAGGTTAAGAATGCCCAGGAGGACATGTGTCAGTTCAATGTTCCACACTAGTCAACATCACGAGGCTAAACAGCTCCTCATAACAGGTGTACCCACTGTGTACGAAATCTTGTTCTGTCCAGGTGTGGATGGAGACGAGCTTGGCGTTTTGGGAGGAGCAGGCAGAGGAGGCGGCTGTCCACGTCATCTCCTGAGTACTGAACAGGTAGCAGTGGTCGCCGTTCTGTTCCCAGCCATCTGGACAGTACCGTTCATCTGCGCCACAAACATATACCTTTACCACTTTGAGTTACTATTAAATAATGTTCATATATATATATATATATATATATATATATATATATATTATATATATATATATATATATATATATATATATATATATATATATATATATATATATATATATATATATGTCGTACCTAGTAGCCAGAACTCACTTCTCAGCCTACTATGCAAGGCCCGATTTGCCTAATAAGCCAAGTTTTCATGAATTAATTGTTTTTCGACTACCTAACCTACCTAAACCTAACCTAACTAACTTTTTCGGCTACCTAACCTAACCTAACCTATAAAGATAGGTTAGGTTAGGTTAGGTAGGGTGGTTAGGTTCGGTCATATATCTACGTTAATTTTAACTCCAATAAAAAAACATTGACCTCATACATAATGAAATGGGTAGCTTTATCATTTCATAAGAAAAAATTATAGAAAATATAATAATTCAGGAAAACTTGGCTTATTAGGCAAATTGGCCTTGCATAGTAGGCTGAGAAGTGCGTTCTGGCTACTAGGTACGACATATATATATATATATATATATATATATATATATATATATATATATATATATATATATATATATATATATATATATATGTCGTACCTAGTAGCCAGAACGCACTTCTCAGCCTACTATGCAAGGCCCGATTTGCCTAATAAGCCAAGTTTTCATGAATTAATGTTTTTTCGACTACCGACCTACCTAACCTAACCTAACTTTTTTGGCTACCTAACCTAACCTAACCTATAAAGATAGGTTAGGTTAGGTTAGGTAGTGTTGGTTAGGTTCGGTCATATATCTACGTTAATTTTAACTCCAATAAAAAAAAATGACCTCATACATAATGAAATGGGTAGCTTTATCATTTCATAAGAAAAAATTTAGAGAAAATATATTAATTCAGGAAAACTTGGCTTATTAGGCAAATCGGCCTTGCATAGTAGGCCGAGAAGTGCGTTCTGGCTACTAGGTACGACATATATATATATATATATATATATATATATATATATATATATATATATATATATATATATATATATATATATATATATATATATATATATATATATGTCGTACCTAGTAGCCAGAACGCACTTCTCAGCCTACTATGCAATGCCCGATTTGCCTAATAAGCCAAGTTTTCATGAATTAATATATTTTCTCTAATTTTTTTCTTATGAAATGATAAAGCTACCCATTTCATTATGTATGAGGTCAAATTTTTTCATAGGAGCTAAAATTAACGTAGATATATGACCAAACCTAACCAACCCTACCTAACCTATCTTAATAGGTTAGGTTAGGTTAGGTGGCAGAAAAAGTTAGGTTAGGTTAGGTTAGGTAGGTTAGGTAGTCGAAAAACAATTAATTCATGAAAACTTGGCTTATTAGGCAAATCGGGCCCTGCATAATAGGCTGAGAAGTCCGTTCTGGCTACTAGGTACGACATATATATATATATATATATATATATATATATATATATATATGTCGTACCTAGTAGCCAGAATGCACTTCTCAGCCTACTATGCAAGGCCCGATTTGCCTAATAAGCCAAGTTTTCCTGAATTAATATATTTTCTCTAATTTTTTTCTAATGAAATGATAAAGCTACCCATTTCATTACGTATGAGGTCAATTTTTTTTTATTGGAGTTAAGATTAACGTAGATATATGACCGAACCTAACCAACCCTACCTAACTAACCTAACCTATCTCTATAGTTAGGTTAGGTTAGGTAGCCGAAAAAGTTAGGTTAGGTTAGGTTAGGTAGGTTAGGTAGTCGAAAAACATTAATTCATGAAAACTTGGCTTATTAGGCAAATCGGGCCTTGCATTGTAGGCAGAGAAGTGCGTTCTGGCTATTAGGTACGACATATATATATATATATATATATATATATATATTATATATATATATATATATATATATATATATATATATATATATATATATATATATATATATATATTGGTGTATACTGGCAGCAGGTTTTCTTTCAAACATGTTTCATTGAATATGACCGCATATTCTGTATTTATTATTTTCTGGTTTAGGGCTTCTATCCCTCTAACTATTTTCTTAGCATCAGGGCTTAATTGAAATAGGAGTTCTCCAAAACTCATTTTCGTACTTTTAAGGTGAAGAAAAGAAGTGATTTACTATAGAGTGTATTACACTTATTTGTATAATTTGCACGACGTTTCGAACCTCCATGGTTCATTCTCAAGTGAACAGATCTTACAATACTAGTTGGTTTTATACCCGCATTAGGTCAGGTGATAATACAATGAAGGTGAAAACATGGGGGGATACATAAGGGATAAACATAGGGGCTGCAGTAGGCTTATTGGCCCATACGAGGCATCTCCTATCTAAACACAAAGATTAATCCAGTGTAATTGGCCTGTTATGTTGGACATTGTCTTCTGTGTTGGCATCGATATGTCTTGTCTTGTCCTTACTCTCATGGTGGGTAGAGTAAATAGTTCCGTGATTTGGGTGTTCATGGTAGGTCGCTCTATTCTTATGTGAATTGCCTCAAGAATTTGTAATCTTCTTGAATCTTGGGTTTTGTCTATTATGCAAGTATTCTTGTTCAACATTTCTCTTGTTAGAGTAATGTCATGGGCTTGTCTCATGTGATTCCTAGGGGCACCAGATTGAAGATGGCATGTCAAACGCCTCGTCAGCTTGGTCGACGTCATACCTATGTACTTACATTGAAGGTTACATCCTTCGTGGGGGCAAGTGTACATGTATACAACGCTTGACTGCTGTAGAGGGTTCTCCGTCGGCTTCGGGCTGTTTTTGATAAGGAGTTCGGAAGTCTTCTTGGTTTTGTAGAATATTATCAGGTTTATGTTTTGGTTAGGAGTAGTGCTTTTACTCCTTTACGGATTATTTCTTTCATTATTCTTTCCTCTTTTATATGTTCACTGTGCATGGTTGATTTGTAATATAATTTTATTGGGGGTGTTGTGGTTTCTGTTCTAGGTTCTGAATTATACCAACGGTCCAAGTGTCTTCTTATAGCAGCGTTTATTTCCGCGTTGCTATATCCGTTGTTCACCAATACCTGAGTTACTCTTTCAAACTCTCTACTCACGTTGCTCCATTCAGAGCAGTGGGTAAGCGCTCGACGAATATAAGCATTGAGAACACTGGCTTTGTATCTTTGGGGCACTCACTTCTACCGTTCAGGCATAATCCTATGTTGGTGGGCTTGGTATATACGTTGGTGCTTAAGAGGTTCCTGTTTTTGTATTAGTACATCCAAGAATGGCAGACTGTTATTTTCACTATTTTCATGTGTAAATCGGAGTACTGACTCTCTCTCTAGGTGTCTTTTTAGGTCAATTAGTTCATCTGAGTCTTTTACTATTACGAATATGTCATCTACATAACGGCAGTATACAGTTGGTTTTTGTCTGCTACTGAAGACCCTATCTTCGATGGTTCCCATATAAAAATTAGCAAATAAAACTCCTAAGGGGGAGCCCATTGCTACTCCGTCTATTTGTAAATACATGTCTCCTTGTGGAACTGATGAAGGGGCTTCCTTTGTACATGCTTCGAGAAGACTTTTCAAGTTGTGGCTCAGGTATGTCTAATTTGGGGGTGCTCTCGTCTCTGTATACTCTGTCCCGTATCATTCCTATGGTTGTGTCGACTGGGACGGTTGGTAATATATATATATATATATATATATATATATATATATATATATATATATATATATATATATATATATATATTATATATATATATATATAATA